GAGGGCTTTACCGTATTAACAGGAGAAGCGGCTCAAGTGAAATTAGACACTGTCGTCAGAGAACATGTAGTAATTTATAAATGTTTTAAATCAGGTTGGGTCCGGATTAGCCAGCAAGTGGGTTTGGATCCTGACCCTGGTCCGCTAATCCGTGACCTCTGCTCTAAAGGTTACAGTAAGAAAGCGAAAATGATATAACATGTTCATAATCGGCTTTCTGGGCATTTAATTCACATGCAGCTGATAAAATGCAGGATTTGACGGAGGGATTTCTGAATAAGTAAACCAAAGTTACCTCTCTGGCCTCATATGTATCCGGGGCGGTGATTCTGTAAGGCGTGTCCGGGATGTCATAATAGGGCTGGTCTTTATGAATGTCCTGCAACATAACAGGGAATAAAGTCATGGTAGAGATAATAAGCTGACCGACAATAACTTCTTTGATACACCATATAACCGTCGCTCACCGCACTGAGGGACAGGGACAGCGTCTGCAAGATGTCCAACATGGTCTTCAGCACCCGGCCGCTCCACAGCAGGTGGGGGAAGCTGAGGAGGGAGATGTTTGTTTATTTATAAAGCCAAAAGTTTGAGGGGAACGACGGATGGCTTGACGCTCTCTTACGTTTCAGCGAGACCAGACAGATATTTGTCAGCCACTCTGCGGATCCGCTTGTGGATGTGGTTGAAGTTGACCAGGAGAAACTGGGCATGGCGTTCCAGCTCCTCCTCATGAGCTTTAGTTTTTGGCTGAAAATGAAACCGCTTATGGATTAAACACTGGGAGGATTGCTTCCTCTATAAATGCATTTCAGGCCCTTTTTAAAGGACAACTCACCCCAAAATCAACTTAACTTTCCGACTAAACTTTGTATATTGATGTTTTATAGTGCTATCCACATGCCCCGAGGTTTATCCTGCTTTAGGATCTAAAAATGTGTTTGGCGCCCTCCTCAGGTTTAATTGGTGCTACTGCATCAGATTGTATCTCAGTATGACTGTTGGCTTCCTTGTAATTGTAACGTCACCCAGAAAAACTGAGTCAGTAAATCAACCCTGGTCATCTGCTCTCTGTGACTGTGGTATCACTCTCGGTTGATTTCCAACCCAAACACTTGAGAAACCAAAATAAATAACTTCTATATGAAGTAAATTTGGTTCCATTATTGTTGTAAGCAAATAAAAAGAAAGTTTTGTAAATGGAAATTTGAAAAATGTTTAATAAAAAAAGCTCATTTAGTAATTTTAGGTTTCCTTTTAAAATGTGTTTTTTCTTTTTACAGATTAAACATTTTTTATTTTAAGGTTTAGTTCTACTTATGGCGTTCATTTCAAATTGTGCTCACTTCTGGGGGCGGGCTTTTCTTTGGATTGAGGAACATAGACCAATTTCTATTGGTCTGCTGGACGTTAGCAACAACATAGTACTACAACTGAAGTGAAGAGAATGTCATCTTTATAACACAATATTCAAGAGAAATAAAAAATAGAAAAAATAGAAAATCTGACACCTGACAAAACATTTGGAAAAAATATGATTTTAAAGAAATAAAGAATGAAAAAAAAATCTTGCAAAAATAAAATCTAGGAAAACATCCAAGTTACTCTCTTTTTTAATATGAAATTTATCAGAGATTTATTTATGGATTGCCTTTTTATTTTTACTTCCATTTACTTCATGTGCTTTGTTTGCTGCAATAACGGAAACATAATTACTCCATACTTTCACACTGGAAAAACGATCTAGAAATAAGTAACAATTTCTTAAATGAAGTGTATTTACCCTTAATTTGAGTCGGTATATGGTAGTTTGCCAGTGGAATGAGTATTTTTGCTCTTAAAATAAGATAATTAGATAATATTCACTTGAAATAAGACAATGCAATTGTGTTTTCTTATTTTAAATGTAAATTGTCTTGTTCCATTGGCAAAATGTCTCTTTTACCTCTTCAATAGAAAAATAAATGCACTTATTTTAAGAAGAAATGACTTATCTAGATTTAGATTTTTTCCATTGCATCCCTTGTGATTTGGTGACACAAGTAACGTCAAATGATTATATTAGACTAGAAATATGAGGCACACCCCTTTTTTTTTTTAATTTTTATGCATTTTTACTGATTTAGTAGTATAGTATTCATGCTTAAACTAACCGCATTTCAAGAATTTCCATTGGGTAATAACCACAAATACTTGGAAGCAACATTATCAGAATTACTTGTATTGCTATTGTGCAAAAAAGATAAACTAAATAAAAAAACACAACTCTTCAGGTTAGTGCAAATATTAAAAAATAAGTATATAACACAGAAAGGAAAAAGAAATGAATAAATTAGCGTCGAGCATTAAAAATAATTGTTCAATAAAAAGATTCAATAATCATGATAAAGTGTTTTCCAGTAAAAGGCCAGTATTGTCTTATTTTACATGCATATTATCTAATTATGTTATTTTAAGACTAAAATACTCATCATCTAATTTACCTGCTCAAATTAAGGGTAAATACACTTAATTTAAGAAATGTTTATTTATTTCTAGATCGATTTTGCAGTGTTCCTGCTGATGCTAAAAATGATCAGATCATAATAATCAGAACAGGTTTTAGCAAAACAAAGATTTCTAAAGCTGAGCGTTAACATGGTAAAAAAATTTTATGTTTTTGGATTAGACCACGAACAGAAAATTTTTATCACTAATATGTTTTATATGATTGTTTATTTTATGAAGTACTCTGGCATGAACAAAAAAAAGTGTGGAAAATTCCTCTCCGACAACATTAAAAGGTGAAAACTTACTTTTTCAGCCATCATCTGAAGGAAAACCTCAAACACTTTGTCGCTCACAGCAATCACACACTGCATCATACCTGTAAAAAAAACACTGATTTAAAACATGAGGGATGTTTTTGTTTGTCTTTCAGGAACCGGTTTCCATTTTCTGATGGCCTCACCAGACTTATCCTTCTGAATGGCTCGGTCCTCAAAGTAACGAAACATGACCTGAAAGCGGTCCGAGTCCAGAGAGTGCAGCATCCTGGCACAGATGAAACAGACGAGATGAGGTGAGGTCATGTTTCTCAGGTTAAAGGGCAAACAGAGACAGATCAGACCTGCGTTTGTTACCTCATGTACTCCAGCCGGTAAACGGACAGCAGGTAGGTGGACATGGCAAAGTCCAGCTTGTTGATGAGAGCAGACACCTCTGGAGGAGGGTCCAGCAGGTTGATGATGGTGCTGCGGAGGTCATTCAGCTCCGCCTGGAACGGAGCAGCTAAAGTCAGACAGGTCTGATGTCTGTGTGTATGTGGGGGGGTGGTCTTTATTTACCTACAATGTGGAGGAATTATTTTGTAAAATATGCTACACACGAGAACTTAAGGGCTGGTTATACTCCTGCAACAGTGTGTCGCAGTTAGTTTGTTGCAGATATGAAGAACTTATTTTGGATTTATGCTCAATACTGAAGCGTGGTCTGCGCTATGATATTTCTTGCCACAACATTAAGGCGAAAAAGATCGGGGATCCAGGTGGAAAAAGGGTCCCAGCGTTCTTGCGCACCTCGCTCTTCTAGCTAGTCCATCTTCACCTACAATTTGCAGTCACCTACAATTTTGGGGAGGTGCAGCAGAGTGTCTGCGGAAGGGGGGGTGGTGGCATATCTGCGTTATCTGTGACACACACACAGATGACATGGTTTCTGAGCACAAACCAGCCTTTACAGATACATATGTGGACACTCAACTCGTCCCCATAAGGTAAACTCTGTTCCCCGAGTTGGGTTTAGGTGCAGGACTAAGGAGAGAATTCCCTTTAGGTTAGGTTTTCTTGGCCTACTCTATAAAAGGCTGGAACTCTACGCTATTCCAGACATTTTGAATTGAAAAAGTTTCCTGGATGGGAAGTGAAATGTCTGCAAACTTGTTTTTTTAAGTTTTTTGGAATGACTATGACCTAGATGACTGAGAATCTACACCAGCGTGAGGTTAGGTATACCGTATGTTGGTAATAGTTAGGGTTAGGATCTGGATTAGGCACTATAAAATTAATGCAGGTCAAAGAAATGTCCCCATACGTCCTGAAAACAAAGCTTTGTGTGTGTGAGTACCTGTCTAGCCTTCAGAGTGAGGACCAATTTCCAATTTCACCATCAAATTGAGGACCAGTTGTTGCAAAGTGAGGACATATTGCTGGTCCTCATGCTATTTTTCTAACATCTAGTTTTAGGGCAAAGGTGCCAATTGGGTTAGGTTTAGGGTTGGTAATGGTTTGGTTTAGGGTTGGTAATGGTTTGGTTTTGGGTTAGGGCACAGAAAGGGTTGAAAATGACTGCAAATCAATGGAAGTCAACACATGTCCTCACTATAAATGGCAGAACGAGTATAGGTTTGTGGGTGTGTGTGGTCATACTGGAGTGACGGTGTCGTTCTTCAGCGCAGAGTTATACTGCAGCTCAGAGCGTAAAGGTTCTCCACTGGGAAACGTCAGCAGCGGCGATTTGGTGGCAATCTCACAAACTCCTTCGTACCACTCCTCTGGCCACAGACCTGATAGGTTCAACACGGATCAAAGGAAACATTACTGAAAAAACTAGAGACCATATATTTATATAATGTGGGCTTGATATTATTGAAGGTTATTTTTTTTTCAAAACTATTTGTGCCTTGTAAGTGGGAATTTGAAGTTGTAGAGAGAGTTACATTCTAAATTTTGTATTTGTAGAAAAAAATTTACAAGTACACTTTTTTTTTTTTTTACAAATGTTAAGTATTACACAAATTCTGTTCTACAAGTTGCACATCAAAAACCTCTTACATTCTCAGTTTTCCTTTAAATGGTTCAGAGCTATTGTTGCAAAACTATTTCATTGC